GTGCATCTGTGTCCTCGGGCCCTGGTCTTGGCCTCCCCCTGTGTTTACCCACATTCCCGGGTTGTGACTGTGGTGGAGTGGCCTGGATTGAGATGCTCCTAGGTGTGCTGTCTGAGCCTGTGTGTGACTTCACTGTTGGTGCTGTGGCAGTGGATGCCCAGTGGGGCCTGGACAGTGGTGTGGGGTTTGTCTCGTCTCTTCCTCGTGTGGAAGTGCAGCTGAGGACGAGTGTCAAGCTGTGGGGGGGACAAGGAGTGCTGTCCTCTGGTCCAGGGTGGCTCGGCAGCAGTCTGTTCCTGTGACCCTGTGGTGTCCCTGGAAGGAGGGAGGAAGGAGGAAGGAAGAGGTCTCAGCAGCCCTTTGTTTTTTTTTTTTTTTGTTTTTTTAAGAGAGAGTGAGAGAGGAGAGAGAGAGAGAGAGAGAGAGAGAGAGAATTTTTTTTAAAAATATTTCTTAGTTCTCGGCGGACACAACATCTTTGTTGGTATGTGGTGCTGGGGATCGAACCCAGGCCGCACGCACGCCAGGCGAGCGCGCTACCGCTTGAGCCACATCCCCAGCCCTCAGCAGCCCTTTGAATAAGGGAACCAGCACTGGCGACCACCAGCCGCACAAGGCAGTTGGAGAGAAGGACACGTGGCAGGTTCCACCCTCCAGAGAGTGGAGAGAGTGGGGAGAGCAGGGCGGAGGGTGAGGGGAGGAGGCACAAGTCGAGGAAGTGGGAGGCAGCCCGGAGCCTGGCTGTGAGCGGATCGCCAAGCCTGGACCAGGCCAGGTGCGACTTTAAAAATGTACAAATGAGGAAGGAGACGCTTCTGGGGACACTGGGTCTCTCCCAGCCTCCGCAAGTGGTCGTGCAGCGAGATCGGCTGGCGGAGGGGGCCATCCACCGTGGCCCTGGCCTGTCCCTTGCTTGTCCCTGGCTGAGCGGGGAGTGGGATCAGCTCCTGAGTCCTTCCCCTGCCGGGAGGTGGTCTGAGGTCTTCCGGACCCTTGGCCCTCTGCTGCCCAGGGACCTGCTGTCCCCCATCCCCGCTGGTCTCTAAGCGGCGGGGCTGGGATGGGGACAGGGGACGGGCTGTCTTGGGCTGTCCCCACTGGAACCCCCCGGGTGGACCATTCTCTACTGGGGCTCTGTTCTGGGTGCCACCGAGGTCACGGGCACCGCTTGGCTGCCGTGTGGCCGTGTCTGCTCTGCTGTCCTGGCACCTGGCCGCCCCAGTCCTACCTGGTGCCTGTCCTGTGCAGGGGTGTCGCAGGGCTCCGTAAGGCCGCCTGGGGCTCGAGCACGGGCAGCCTGGGTCCCCGCAGGCTGTCATTCGAATCCCAGCCGGGTGGCAGCGGCTTTCCTGGTCTGGGGGTGCTGGGTGCGTGAGTGCCAACTGACCGGAGCCCTGGCAGCCTGTGCTCGGTGCCGAGGAGGGTTGTGCGCCTCTGAGCCTCTGTCCAGGGCGGGGTCGTAGCGAGGGCCCCTTTGAGTCGCCTCCAGGGAAGTGGCGCTCCCGCTCCGTGGATCCCGGTCTCCGTTGCTGCCCGCCTGCCCCGCCGTCCTTGGGTCGTTTTTTCTCCCTGGGTTCGGGTCCTGGGGGTTGACCCAAGGACACTCTGCTGTGAGCCACACCCCCAGCTCTGTGTTTTGGGTCTCGCTGACTTGCTTGGGGCTTCACTAGGTTGCTGGGGGTGGCCGCCTCCTCGTGATCCTCCTGCCTCAGCCTCCAGTGGGCACCATTGCGCCCAACCTCACGGCTCCTTGGCAAAGAATCTGCTTGAATCTTTTGTTAATTTAAGGGGGAAAAGTTGGGCCAATTTTTTTTTCTTAACTTTTTATATAAAGTGTCCTTTGCTGTAGTTACAATCTGGATGTGCTGTCCTCCCGGGGCGCCTGTTACTGTAGCCATGGAGCTGGGGAAGCCGGTGGCCTCTGGGGTGTGTGGAAGGTGGGGCCCCTTTTCTGTCCCCTGCCTGCTGCTCCTGCTGCCCTCCACTCCCCCCACCATGCTCCTGTGTCCCTTTGGGCACAGAACCCTGGGTTGAGCCCACCTCCGGCCACACCTCTGAAACCATGAGCCACAGCCAGCTTGTCTTCCCCCAAGTTGTCACTGTTGGTATTTTAGTCACAATGTGGAAACGTTAGCAGATTGGAGGGCTTTTTTTTTTTTTTTAAATGAGCAAAGTTGGAAATTTTCAACTTTGCCGAGTTCCAGGACACCCGCTGCTTTCTGTTGTCCCTTGATGCTCTTGGGCCCTCCTGGGACATCTCCACCCACCCCAGGCCACAGAGGTCTTCTCCTGCACTTCTGCCGCAGTCCGGCTGCAGCAAAATAACGGGGGTGACAAGCAACTTGTGTAGATTGATACAGCAGGAGTGGGAGCCGTTTATTGTGGGACACGAGGGGTATTTATACATTCCACACAGCTTATCTCATTAACATAAACTAGATACAGCAGTCAACCAATCGGGAATCCCCACACTTAATGGCTCGCTGGCGTTACTTCACAAACCACTCCCCCTGGGAAAATGCCAGGCGCCATCCTGACTTGTTTACAGACTCTAACACACTTCCTTGAAGAACTGTAACCTTAAATGTCTGTTTTGTCCTGTGGTCCACTTGGTGTCATCTCCTGTGTTTAGTAGGGTGTGGCTTTAGACTTGGAGGTCTCGGGACCTGTGACCCCGTGTTCAGCCCCCTTTCCCCGCTGAATATGCTGCGTCTGTCAACCAGTTCACACAGTGGACAACAACATGTGGGCTCCACAGTTGGTCACTCAGCCATGGAGAGCAGCAGCTGGCACACACCCCACCATGTCACTCTGGCGTGCTCCTGGCGTGCCCGGTACAGAGGCCCACGTGCGGGTACACTAGCTCCCCTGAACCGTGTCTTTAAAAGGGTTAAGATGCTGCGTGTATCCTGGGCGTCTACCCCAACGTCCCCTGACAGTGATTTCTGAAGTCCTTTTCCTCCCTCTCACTGGTGGGCACTGGTCCTCAGCTCATAGCCGCCTGTGCTTGTGCAGTGTTCTATTGAACTTGAGTGGTGGGCGCATGACTGCAATCCCAGCAGTTCAGAGGCCAAGATGGGAGGACCTCAAGTCCAAGGCCAACCTGAGCAACATCATCCCTGTCTAGAAATAAAAAGGGGCTGGGTGGAGCTCAGGGGCAGAGCAGACCTGAGATTAACTCCCAGGAAACAAAATAAAAGTGATAAATGAAGAAAGGAACTGGGTAGTGTTCGTTCAACGAGGCCCTCTGGTTTTCCATGTAAACCACAGACTGTCGGCTGGGCGAGGATCACGTTGGAATTACTGCAGTTGACTGCTGCTTCCTGTCTCTGCACCTGCCGTCGACCTTGCTCTCTCCGTTTCTAGTTTTCATTTCTAGATAGCTTAAGATAAAGTGGTGTTCCGCATCTGCACGTGGGAGTGTGTTATTACAAGCTCAGCAGCAGGGTTGTGCTTTGCTTTTGGAACAGGGATTGAACCCAGGGGCCACTGAGCCCTGTCCCCAGCACTGTTTGTATTTTATTTAGTGACAGAGTCTCACTGAGTTGCTTAGGGCCTCGCTGTTGCTGAGAGCGAGTGTGAACTTGAGATCCTCGTGCCTCAGCCTCGCGAGCTGCTGGGGTGACAGGTGTGCACCACCAGGCCCGGCTAGTAGCAGGTTTTATTTTCATTTTTTAACATCTTGGTAATTCCGATGACACCTCGTTGTGTTCGTTAGTATTTTCCTAGTGAGTAAATTGAAGATTTTCTCATGGGTGTATTGGCCACTTCCGTTCTGAAGTCTGCTTGGCTTGAGTTGACAGTTGCTACATATTTTGGGCACAGGTTCCTGATCCCCAAGTTTGTGGCTTATGATGGGGTCCCAGGTGAGGGCACGGTGCCTGGCATGCCCTACTCGTCTTTCGTCTCTGGCTTCCACACGTGAGAACACAAGGCCTCCACCCTCTGGGTGAGGGAGGCCCGCTTCGGTGGTCACTACGGCCCCTCCAGTGGCTGAATCCAGCTGTGCCATCCGCGTGCCACCCTGTCTTATTGCCACCTGTCTGTTGGTGGACATCTGGGGTGGCTCAGTTTAGCTCTTAATGTGGCTGGAAGCCTTTGTTCAGCAGGGTTATGATCTGCTCCTGTGTTCTCTTCTAGAAGGTTCCTTCTCTGTGCAGCCTGGGGCGTGCTGGGCAGGCGCTCTGGGAGTTCGTGCGCGTGTCCGCTCTCGGTCTCCGATGCCCACGTTCGCGCTCCTGCACGGGCTGACGCAGGTCGTGCGGGGCTGCCTCGGCCCAGGCCGCTGGTGCGCACAGGAGCAGGCAGTTCCCGGACTAGGTCCTCCCCCCCCAGGCCCCTTGTCACGCCGACCCCGCGTGTCGCACCGCAGTGATCCCGTGGAAACGGGAAAGCGGACTCCCCCCCCTCCTCCCCGTCTAGTGTTTCAAGGTGGTGGCTGCTCTGAGCCCTTCACTTCTCCATGTGCGTTTCGGGGTCAGCTTTTTCGTTTCTGCGGAAACCCTTGCTTGGGTTTGGGCAGGGTCCGCACTGGAGCCGCGGATCAGTGACCCTGTGTCTCCTGTCGCCTAACAAAATAGTTCCTTACCAAAAGGCGGGTGGGCGCCCCGGGGCTCAACGCTGGCACTAGAGGGAGTTTGGGGACGCAGCTCGGTGTGTAGAGCCCCGGGTTCCATCCTCAGGTGTGTGTGTGTGTGTGTGTGTGTGTGTGTGTGTGTGTGTGTGTGTGTGAGTGAGAGTGAGTGAGTGAAGGCCCCACCCACTCCAGGGAGACCTGGGCCAGGCCCCTGCAGCGCGGAGTCTTGGCTGGAAGGCGCGGTGCTGGGCACCCACCTGAAGGCGGCTCGGATCCCGGGAGCACGGAGAGCGCCAGGCGGCCTCCTGGGTTCTGTAAACACGTGTGTCCAGGTGACAAGCGTCCCTGCCCCTGCAGCAGATGGAGTCGCAGCTTCTGGGCTGTGCGCACGAGCTGAGCCTCCGTCCCGGGCCTCTCTTTGCAGATTCCGGGGAGCAGGTCCTGGTGGACGTGGAGACCAAGACCAACAAGGAGATCGTGGAGCACGTCAGGAAGATCCTGGGGAAGAGCGAGTGAGTGGCTGCCCCTGACGGGGGAGGAGCCGAGCGGGGGCTGCCCACAGCGGGCCTGTCCGGGTCAAGAGGGCAGGTCGTCCTTGGCGGGGCGGCGACAGGCCCCTGGAGCGCAGCTGGAAGGCCTCGTGTGAAGCCCGGCTTGGAGCCAGGGGACGTCCGGCTCCAGGAGTCGGGCCTGGGGAAGGGCTGACCCCGGGACGCACGCTGCTCTTGGGGACAGCATGGGGTTGTCTTCCCAGGGACCTTGCCCTCGTGCACGGGGTGGGCAGGGGGCTCCTGGGGACCCGGGCTGGGCTTCACCTGGGCGCTCCTGCAGGGAGACCCTCCAGAGGGAGCAGCAGGAGAGGCAGCAGCTGTCGCACCCGGCCAACTTCGGGCCCCGGAAGTACTGCCTGCGGGAGTGCATGTGCCAGGTGGAGGGCCAGGTGCCCTGCCCGGGCCTGGTGGCCCTGCCCAAGGAGATGACCGGCAAGTACAGAGCCGCCCTGAGGGCCAGCGCCAAGGACTGAGTCGCCTGTGCACCAAGCGGTGGTGAGATGGGGGTGACCCCAGGACTGTGCTCGAAGGTCGCCTTTGGACTGAGGCTGAGGTGCTGCGTGGATGTCCCCATCCCTTGCTCAATAAAAGGCCTGGTGGCCCCAGCAGCGGTGTGCCTCTGGTCCTGCTGCAGGGAAGGGGCTCTGGGCAGGGAGCGTAGAGGCCGTTGCCACCGTGTTGTCCTGGTACTCTGCTCCAGTGCTGTGGGTCGTCTACTCTCGGGGAGGTGACAGCCACCATGGCTGAGCCTGTGGCTTTGTGGCTTTTCCACTCCTCAGAGGGTTGGCCTTTCCAACAAGCATGTGGCCCTTGTGTGGCGTGGGGGGTGGGGTCTGGCCTGGGCAGAGCTGCAGCAGCCCACTGTGGTGCAGGTCCCTGTCACTCAGGTCTGTGGCCCCTGCTGGCGAGGCCACCCACAGAGCCCTGGCGACTCGGCCAGGAGGTGGGTGTGGGGGTCAGCCTGGCTGGTCCTACAGCCCCCCAGGGTGGTAGCTGGTGCAGGTGGCCTCTGCCATTGGGGACAGCGGGCAGCGTGGCTGTGGGAGCTGTAATGTGGTTTAGGGACCTGCCAGAGATGGTGACATCCAGGTTCCTGTTTGCAGTGACTCTGCACCAGACCTGTGCTGGGCGATGGCTCGTGGCTCTAGTCGTAGTGGACAGGGTGCTCTGAGGGCCACAGGCTCACGGGCTGCTGTTTGGTGGCAGTGTGGCCCTTGTCTTCCACAGCCAGTGTGGAGGGCCACTCTATTGTCCCCAACCCAGCCGCTGGCTTGGTGACACGAACTCCTAGGATGAGGGGGACCCTGATCCAGAACAATCGCCCCTCTGTGCAGAGGGACAGAGGCCTGGGCTCAGGGTCAGGCTCAGCACGGTTGTGGGGACCACCCGCCACGCCTCCGGGCCAGTGGGTGGAGGTGAGTGGTGGCTGGCCTGGGGCCGCCCTCCCTGGGACGTGGGCAGTGGACGAGGATCACGCACGTCATTGTTTGGGACTTGTCTTTGATGAATCTGAGACACGGGGACTGGCGGAACGGGAGGGCTGAGCCGTGGGGCGGGTCTGCAGACAGCGGCTGTGTGGCCGTCAGGAGGCACGGCGGGCAGTGCCACTCGGGGATCTGGCTGTCATGAGTTGTCCTGCCTGTGACTTTGGGCCTTAGCGTCCTTACCTGTGAAATGAGAGGCCAGGTGACCATGAGCTCGTCCCCCACTGGTGGCTCCACCCTGGTGAGTGACTGTCCTTAGAGGAGGAGCCTGCTGCGCTGTGGCTCAAGGCCTGGTGACAGGGTGGGGTGGCCGCCCTGCTCCTGAAGCAGCCTCACCCCTCACCCAGGAGCCACCCTGCGGGACACAGAGGTCGCTGCCTGGGTTTCCCCTGCCAGGTGTTGAGGGCCAAGGTCAGGTGGAGAGAGGGGCACTGTCCCACTCCAACAGTCCCCACAGGGCCCTCGGCCAGATGTCACCAGTGCGGTGGGGAGAAATGAGGAGCAGGCGCACACGAGGCTTTAATTCACTTTTAATGGTCTGCCCCCCTGTGGGCAGCAGGGTGGGCCACAGTGAGGCCACGTCAGACAGCATGGGTCACGCACACAGCTGCGCATGCACGGCAGCGCCACGGACACAGCGCAGGGCCGCGGGCGGGACAGCGTTAGATACAAAATCAGGTTAAAAAGGACATGCCATTGAAATGCCATCACAGAACACTCGCTTCATGGGGGACGGGAGCTGTGCACAGCTGCAGCCTCCACAGGGTCTCAACCCGGAGTCCAAACGTCACGGCGTCAAGGAGAGAAGGGCAGGGTGACAGGGACGGTCCCAGGAAACCTCACGCCCGCACTGTCCTCTGGGGGGTGCCTTTTTACGGGCTGGGACGCGGCTGCATTTTTACAGGAGTCTCAACTAGCGGGGACCCACAGCTGGGGTGTGGGGACACGTGCAGCTTCGCAGTCAGAGGACCAGGCCAGCGCTGGCCCCCGGGGGACAGGTGAGACACAGGACAGCAAGTCTGCCACTCTCACAACTGAGCCTGCTCCCGAGGAAAAGCCACTCTTAAGGGGGAGCCTGGTGTCCCCAACCTTCACCCTTTAATGCCCTGTCAAGTGGTTGGGGTCACTCGGCTGCTGTTGTGCCGGCCAGACAGGTGACAGAGTATCAGGCAGGCTTCCATGTTTTTCAGCTAGAAAGCCACTTTCAAACATGTGATTGTCACAGCAAGTGAGGGCCACAGCAGCGCCACCTTCGTTTTACATCAAAGTAGGGCCACCGAGCGCTGAGGGCCCGCATCTCTCAAAGGCACTGAGCACTGTCCCCGTGTCCTCGACCATGCTGACACTGCACCAAGAAAAAGAGCAGCCTGGGGCCCGGGAGGGTCCCGGTCATCCAGCGGTGACCGCCAGGCTGGGCCTGGCTGCAGGGCCGGGTCTCCGCTCTGAGCCCGATTATGGGGAGTCATCAGGTTAGACCTGGTGACAGAAACTTGGTGTCTGTGGCTTTAAGGACAAACACCAGTTCTTTTCTGAAAATTATGATTTGAATTTTTCAGAAAGGAGTTTAGCCTGGGGACTTCCCGCCATGCCCCCAGGGGACAGGGAACTGCACCAAAGACCCCCCCTCCCCGGCTGTGCCCTGGCCTCACTCTAGGCCCCGCTGACAAGGACAGTCCGCACCCTGGCCTGGCTCTGGCCCTGTGGAGCACGGGACCTGGGGAGCTCCTTCCAGCTGGGCTGCCAGCTGCCGTGTGACCGAGTTGAGAAATGGCCACGTAGCTGGGGACGCTGCAGCCCTCGTGTGAACAGAAATGTCCTCCTGTCCCCTCCTGTCCTGTCTGGAGAGAAAGGCTTCCCCACGGGAAGATACAGGTAGGAAAACCAGCGTCTCCCCCAACCAGGGGCCTTGAGCACCTGTCACACACCATAGAGCTCTGTGCTCAGGGTGTGGACACACGTACGTCACCCAGGCTGCTGCGGAGCCCTGGGGCTGGACACGCCCAGTGCACACTGCGGGGATGCAGAGGAGGGGGTGGCCCGGAACCTAGAGTGCAAAGACCCAGAGCCGCCCTGTGGCGCTGGGGTCTTGGGTTTCAAAATCTACAAAGTTGAGACCATTTTCAGAGCTGGGTGACTGACCTAGAGACCGGTGGCTGGGCAGGGGACATGGGGGCATCTGCTTACTGGCTGAGGTGTTCCCAGGACCCAAGGGCACCTGGAGAAAAGTCGGGTCTCACAGGACACTTAACAGGCTGAGGGGACCTGAATGCCACTAGCCAGAGGCTTCTGGACACGGATGCCAACTGCCACCAGGACTGCTCTGCAGCGAGGCGTCCCCAGAGGACAGGGTGAGGCTGCAGCCTGAGGCTGGCTCCCACCATGGCCAGCTGCCCCAGTGGCCCCGGGGAGGGTTGTGTCCAGCCCTGCCTGCCCACAAGCTAGAAAACGAGGGCGCACGGCAACCACACCCCAGATTCAGTAGAAAAACCCATTTAAGGACCCCAAACCTCAGCCCGAGGGCAGAGGCTGGGCAGCACGTCACCTTCCAGGAGGAAAGGGACCAGCGTGACACTGGGCTGAGCGCCTGGGTCTCTTCCCGTCTGGTGTACGCGCGCGTGACTCCAACCCCTGACTCAACGTCATTTGAGCTACTTCTAGGAAGAAGGCCACTTAAACAAGAAGTGACCGTGGGGACCGTCCTTCCCCCTGGGCTGGTGTCCTCACCCAGGCTCCATGCAGAGCGCCTCGGGGACCTGGCCTCACGTCGTCACACCCAGACCACAAGCTCCCCAACGCTGACAACCTGTGACGGCCGCACCCCAAATGGTGAGTGTCCTTAAGTAAACCGAGGCTCTGGCCACACGAGGGACTTCTGAGCCCGAGAGCGTCCTCCGGGCTCAGCCCTGGGCAGCTCAGGCCGCACCTCTGCAGGCACACGGGGCCCCCAGGCCACCATGCGGCCCTCGGAAATGTAAGAACATGGAAGTGGCGGCTCAAGGGACACCCACCAGGCCAGCTGTGCTCTCGGGGAGCCTCTGTGTCACTTCCCTAAACACTCAAGTCCATCGGCCACCACGGCCGCTTTCCAGCCTCTGCTGCTCACGAGGAGGAACAGCCCTAGCGACGGAGCCCGAGGCGGATGCGTCTCCCCTGATCCTGCTGCCACAGCCCGGAGCGCTGCCCCCCCCAGGAGGACGCAGCCCCTCTGGCTGGAGTCCACACCCAGAGCCGTGGAGACAGGCCACCTGGTCAACAGATGCAAACTATGCTCATGGAGGTGACAGTATGCCTGGTAACCGAGCTCGGCTTTTGGTGTCAACTCTGGTCGCTAACTTCTGAGGAAGACGGTCCCTTGGGGATGAGGGTTGCTTTCTACAGGACCGGTGGCCTGCTGGGACAGTGAGAGGCCACCCCTGATGTTCATGACCTGCAGAGGACGAGCTGCTGGGCTCCTGTGCCACCGGCCCTGACCTGCTCCCGGGGTGTCAGGTGGAAATCCCTGGACAGGGGTCCTCACGCCAGAAGCTGCACCGTCCCTGTCCACGCAGCCCCCTCCCCACCTACTCGGGAAGAGGCGTCCAGGGTGGAGGGTGCCCACCCTGCCGGGTCAGAGGCTGCAGCTGCCACGAGCGTGAGGCCACCTGAGGACGTCTGCCGTTGCTGGAGGTGTGACAGGTCTCCTGTCGCCGTTTGGTCTGACCCGCTCCAACCTAATCCTCAGAAGCAGGTGCAGGTGATGGAGAGTCCGCAGAAGCCCGCCACAGACCAGGACCGCGGTCAGGGGACCCGATGGTCAGCCCTGTCACCATATTTCCGTTCACAGGAGCCACGTGCACAGACCGAGGAGCCACGACGCTCTAAACAAATGATTGTCTCCGGAACCCGCGGTGCCAGTCCCCTGCGCTCCAGCCAAAGGTGCCCGCGTTCCCGTGGCCCCGCCCACAGGCAGGTGTCGCTAACGTTACAAAGTTTGATAACAAGTGCTTAGAAAGTGCTATTGTCACCCTGGCAATTAGTAGCTATTAATTCCAAGGACATTTTTAATATATTTACACACATACTGTTCTCTTAGGTTCTTTTAGTTGCTTTAATACTAGTCTCTGACATTATAAAACTTCATTTTTCTGGTTTTTTGCCCTTTGAGAATTGCTAAATACAAATGGAGTTAAAAGATTTTTCCAAAATCTTCATCAAAAGGCATGAAAACGCTTCTCACGGCGGGAGAGGATCCCACTGTCTGGGGTCAACAGGAGGAACCGGGTGGGACCCGGCCACCCTTTGCACATACCAAACACCACTACTTTTGCTCCCCTTGGTCCGAGCGGTCCTGGCGGGTCCCACGGGCGGTGGCGGGCGCGCGTGGGTACTATAGGCTGGCTCCGGTGATCTGGCCGTTGTACTCCGCCGTCTCCATCTTGAGGATGTAGGGGATTATGCTGTCTATTGAAACATTGCCAATGAGACCAGTGAAAAAGAGTTCCTCCGTTATGCTGGAGCTCATCAGCCTGAGCGCAGGCAGGCGGACGAGGATCCGGGCCAATCTGCAAGAGGGAGCCGCGTTAGAGACGGGAGGGCCTCCAGCTCCGGGGACCAGACCGCCACCGCCACCCACCACCCAGCTCTGGTTTTCCTGTTCATCCTGAGGACACGCAGCAGGTGAGTCACACTCGTGACAACACTTGGCTCTCACAAAAAGAAAGCCACTGGCCTGCCACTTCCTAAAAGACGGGAAGAATGTCTACGTCTCGATGAGGAAAGACCCAGGACACACTGTGTTTAGATTAAAAAGCAGGTGGAGCATGTCCCCAAGACACTCATGGCTGTCCCTGCCTCTCGGGAGCTCCTAGAGCTTGGCATGGCCTCAAAATCCAGGTCAAAGATGCTTTGCTTTGAAGAAACCCTGGTGTGGGGGCCACAGACACTGTATCTGCTGTGTCTCACGGGACTGTGCTGCTCCTTCTGTATCAGATAAAAAGTTAGGGGCTTTGATTCCCAGTAACGTAAAGCAAGTTTCTGGAAGTGAACACAGAAGGTTAAAGGTAGGACAGCTCCAGGTGATGCCTTCTTAATGAAGTAGTTTGTTCCCTTTCCACTTTCTAGAATGTTCTAAAAAAACTACATTCAGAGCATTCAAGCACCAGCACCTCCAGCCGGCTACAATGGACTCCCTGCTCTGATCCTGCAGGGCGCACAGGGTGGGAGGGACACCGACACAGGCTGCCGGGCACAGGATGTCAGCAGGGGGCCATCTCAGCCTGGGACCCCAGGCTGGCCCCGGGGGTCTGTGGGGAGTGCGTGGCGAGAATCTGCTGCACAGGCTGAAGGGACTCTGGGCTTAGGACAAGGGCTTCAGAGACTGTGGTCAACAGTGGTGCTACAGAAGCTGCAGCTGGGCTGCGGGACGGTCCTGGCTTTGGCACTGCAGTCGGCCAGGAGGGCCGGGTGCCCCTGAGGCTCAGGACAGCAGCAGGTACAACTGCAGGACTTGGGCGGCTCTGGACAGGGGACACAAGCCTAGGGAAAGGCTTCATCTGTCTGGACTGTGACTCCTTGTGAGGTCAGAACGGAATAAAAAGTAGAAAATGGTTGGAGTGAAAGGGGGCAGCCATTCCCTAGCCCCATGAGTCAGAGCAGTGCGGGGGCCGGTCTTTGGCAGAGCCAGGGAGCCTGGACCAGCCCCCAACACCGGGACCCCTCGCAGCCAGCGTGTCTGGAGGCATGACCTGTGCGCTCCCTGCTCTCCCCTAGGGTCACACGCAGCTGCTGCCCAGGACCAGAAGCAGCGCTTTCCAGTGGGCAGACGGGGCCCTGCTGCACCAGCCCCAGGAGAGGGACAAGCACTCTGAGGCCTCCCAGCGGCCAGCTCTGGCCCCCGCGCTCCTGCCGCCTCCACTGAACAGGACGGGTGGGCGGAGCTCACCGGTAGGTGTCCTCGGCGTAGGTCTTCTGCACGTAGTCCTGCAGCTCCATCTGCGCCTTCTCCTGGAACTTCTCGATCTGGCTCGTGCCCGTCAGACCTGGGTGATCTGAAAGCAAAAGGACCCCCACGTTCCCCTCTGCCCTGTGAAGGCTTCCCCTGCAGACGCCACCGTGGTCACCATGTGTGCATGGAGGGGGCGGCAAGGGGGAACCAGCCGGGCAGGTGCCCCACGGCCAAGCTGCGCCCCACCCCAGCCCTTTCACAAATGATCTCTAGATTCCCAGACAGGGACGGAGTTGCCCAGGCTGGTCCCGAGCCCGCGGTCTCCTGACAGCAGTCGACACAGGTGTGCCCACCTTGGCCAACTGAGTTGAATTTCTATGAAGCTTCCCCAAGGTGACGTCCCAAACTCGGAATCTCAATCCCGTTGGGACGTCGCTAGAATGCTAGCTTTGCCACTGGTTTCTGCCAAGGTTCCCAAGAAGGAGCTGGGCTCCAAAGGGGCACCCCCCTTCCCCCTGGGCACGAGCCCAGCTGAGTCGGTTGTGGACACCTGGCTGCCACCACAGAGCCAGGTGCGGGAACTGCCAAGGGAGAGCGTCCTCTGGGTACTCGGAGACAGGCTCCCGAGGTGTCTTGGGGACGGGGCAGAGCCACGGGGAGCCTGCCCAGGTACAGGGCAGGGTTGGCTGGCACCGAGCCCAGGTGATCAGAAAGAGTGCGGGGAGCACCTGCTGAGGCCGGCCGGGCGTCCATGTGGCCAGGGATCTAATTAGGTATTGAACAGCTGTCATCTGTACCCTAATGTCCCCAGACACGGTGGCCCGTTTCTCAGGAGCTGTAAAAGCCCAGGACTAACAGAATGTCCGCATTTGCAGGAGCCAGTCAAGTGGCTGTCGGGGGACACCACGTGACATACAGAGTGGCAGGGCAGGCTACAGCGCCGACAACACGATCAGGGTCAGAAATATCAGTGGGCACGGGGAAGGCGTCCCGGGTCCCCAGCGCATATCTTACCGGGGCTAAAGAGAACTATAGCTTTAAGGTATGCGTACTCATAGCCGTCCACCTCGAGCCGCGCCATGCCGTTGCAGAACTCCTGCAGCTTCCAGATGTGCTCCATGACCTGCTTGATGCGCTCGCCCGACAGCTTGTCTGCAAGCAGACCACAGGCCCTGAGGGGACGGCCACCGCGAGGACGGCAGGGGGCTCCGCTCAGCACGGGGGAAGTGACTGCGGGCAGCCACGCTCCACTGCGCCATCACCCGGCCTCAGAAGCAAGGCCCCACGCTGGGGCCCACCCGGGAGGCAGCTCCCTGACTTATGGTGCCACAACTCTGCCCAAGGCCTGTCGGGGTCAGGGTCCCAAGGAGCATGTGCCGAGTCCTCAACGGGACATGGACAGCCATCGGGACAGTGTGACCCTACAGCGGTGTGACCCTACAGCGCTCTGCAGCAGGTGTCGTGGTTCTACTTGGTTTATTTGAAAAAGAAAACAGGTCTGCTGCCAGGTGGCTCGCATCCCAGGACTCACACCTGGGACGCCCCAGGAGGAGCCTCGCTTTACGGAGAGGGTGTCAGCGCTCACATGGAGCCCTGGATCCTCCCCTTCCACAGGCTGGTCCTCGCCGTGCTCTGGGCACATGGCCTGGGGAGAACCTGGCTGTGTCCAGCAATGACAGTGAGGAGACTAGGGGCGGGGATGTGTCCCTCTTGCACTTGTTTCATTGGAGGCCAGCTGTGGCCTCACCAGGGCCTCACTTTCCACACAGGCCACAGTCCTGAGGACAGGCCTGGAGAATGTCACATGGAAGGACGACAACCCAGGGACGATGGGATTGTAAGATCACTAAATGCCAAAGAGGTCGTGGACTTCACAATGGCGATCACTCTTTACCCAAAAAGGCCGTTCCAGACGCTCTGACTAGTAGGGTCCCACTACTTTGAAGTCAAGTGCCACTGCCCACCCCATGGTGTGGCGGGACGAGAGGCTGTGCCGTAGGCCAGGTCACCCTCCTCCCTGCGTCCCCAGGCCCTACCTTCCTGGATGCTGTTCTGCAGGTGGTTGACGATGGCGGCCAGGATGGTGGAGAGGCTCATGACCTGGGCGCACTGGGCCAGGCCCAGGGTGAAGAGCTCGTTCCAGCAGGCCCGCACCAGGCTCGTGTTGCAGTCCTGCCTGGGGGCGGAGGGCGGCTCAGCGGGCGGCGGCACCGCACCTGGCACCACCCGGGGCCTCCACCAGGACATGCCCACAGGCTGCACGAGAGCCAGGCCGCTGCCCAGTACCGAGCGCAGCACTTAACACGCCCCTCCAGCAGGGAGCTGCCCTTCTGCAGTTGGGCTGAGGACGAGGCTGCTCGCCCCTGGGCTCCGTCCCCAGCCCTTTCTGTTTGTTATTCTGAGAAAGGGCCTCGGTGGCTGAGGCTGGCCTCAAACTTGTGGTTCTCCTGACTCCACTGCCCAAGTGGCTTCGGTCACAGGCGCGCACGACGGTGCCCGCCCAGTGCTATGCCACAGCCCTCAGCAGGGAGGCCGAAGCCTCCTTCCCCAAGTCTGCTGGACCCTCAGCTGGCCTGGCCTGGCGCTGTCCTAGGAAGACGGGGCCTGTGACTCGACACCCATAGCCAAGGTCACGAGTGACCCCGTGGAGCAAGACAGGAGCCGAGCACCCACCTGCAGGTGGGAGGGGACCAGCTGGGCCACCTGCAGCCCTGTTCTGGAAACTCCTGCCCACGGGAGGGGCACGGTCAGCCCTCGCAGCAGCCGTCTTGGTGCTCTGAGGCTGCAGCCCAGTGGGGCTGGGTCGCCCCCTCTTCTGCCTCAAGGTTTGAGGCCGTGGGCTGGGGACAGAGCTCAGGTGGCCGAGTGCTTGCTTCTCACACACAAGGCCCTGGGCTCAGTGCCCAGC